AGGCCAAGGACGTGCCAGTGCAGTGCCAGCCCTGTATCAGTGCAGCGCCAGCCCCGTGCCAGCCTGGGCCGAGGTGGTGCCAGGCCTGTCACACACACACACAAGTGACACCGGCTTTCTCTGTGTTTTTATCTCAACTCCCCAGACAACAGATCCCCGTGCCCGCCCTGGAATGTCCTGGAATGTTCTTTACACGCGGCTACAAAAACCCCGGGAGGCAGAGGGGGCAGGGCCAGCCCCAGAGCAGAGCTTGGCCAAGCCCTGGGATCAGAGCTGGGCCAATTCCCTGGATCTGAGCTTGGCCAATTCCTTGGACAGAGCTGGGCTGATTCTCTGGATCAGAGCCTGGCCAAGCCCTGGGATGAGAGCTGGACCATTTCCCTGGATCTGAGCTCAACCAGGCTCTGGGATCACAGATAAACCAATTCCCAGGAGACAAGCCCAGCCAAGCCCTGGGATCAGAGCTGGGCCCATCCCCAGATCCAAGCCCAACCCTGCCCTAGGATCAGAGTAGGGCCCATTTCCTGCATCAAGGATCCAGGATCAGAGTTGGGCCCATCCCTAGCCCCAGGATCAGATCCCGGCCCAGCCCCAGGACCATCCCCAGGGTCCAGGATCAGATCCAGGCCCAATCCCAGCCCAGGCCCAGGATCAGGTCTAGGCCCATCCCCAGGATCAGAGTCAGGCCCAGCCCCAGGCCAAGGTTCAGATCCAGGCTCAGGCCCAGTCCCAGCTCCAGATCAGATCCAGGCCCAGGCCCAGGCCCATCCCCAGGCTCAGGCCCATCCCAGCCCCAGGATCAGATCCAGGCCCAATCCAAATCCCAGGCCCAGGCCCATCCCCAGCCCCAGGATCAGGTCCAGGCCCATCTCCAGGCCCAGCCCCAGCCCCGGGGCGCAGTTCATGCTGAGAGGTCGCTGTTGTCGAACCTCTCCTGGTCATAGACCTCGGCCACCACCTTCCTGCCCGCGAACCAGCGCCCATTGAGCGCCTGGATGGCCTTGTGAGTCTCTGAGGCCATGGAGAACTCCACAAAGATCTTGACGATGATCTCAGCGTCCTCCTCCTCGCCCTGCTTCTCCTGGTAGATGATCACCCTGTTGACAGCCCCGAACTTGCCGCACTCCTCCGTCACCTCTCCCTCCAGGTCGTCATCGATGTCCTTGGGATCCACCATGTTCCGCAGCACCATCACCGTGGACTGCAGGGAGGGAGGAGAGGAGGGGATGAAGGCTGGAGACACACACGGGGCACAGCCCAGCCCCCAAACCCCAAAGCCACTGCAGGCACTGCTGCCATGATATTTTATGTAAAATCCTTTTGCTAGGATTTTTTCTCCTGAGAAGCTGAGAGGCCTCAGAAATGAAATGTAAACAAGAATTATCTGCTGCTGTGGCATGCAACAGGTGCATGTGTGATTGGTCTCATGTGGTTGTTTTTCATTAATGACCAATCACAGTCCAGGTGTCTCAGACTGTCTGGTCAGTCACAAGATTTTATTATCATTCCTTTCCTCTTCCTTTCCAGCCTTCTGATGAAATCCTTTTTTCTATTCTTTTAGTATAGTTTTAATACAATATATCTAATAAAATAATAAATCAGCCTTCTGAAACATCGAGTCAACATTCTCATCTCTTCCCTCATCCTGGGACTCCTGTGAACACCAGCACCACACAGGCACCGTCCATGGGCTGCAGGCTCAGGCTCTCAGGGATAATCACTGAGCTTCTATTGCTGCCTGGCAACCCGACAAAGGAGGAATGATGATGAGGACTTCATCTTATTAGAAGGCTAATTACTTTAATAATAATTAATTGCACTAATAATTAAAATTAATAAAAATACTTTCAATTTTTAATGAATTTTACTCAATGTTTAATTTAAAATAATTAAAATATTAAAATTATTAATAATTACTTTAATAATAATTAATTACTTTATTATACTATGTTACATTACACCTAAAATGAATCTGCCAAGCACTCACTCTGCACACAACTGCTCTCTCTGCACTTATGTCCTGACTCTCTCTCGTGACTGTCCTGACACACACACACACACACACACACACACACACACCTGGCCCTGACAGACCAAGGAAACAAAACACCATCACTCTGGGTAAGCAATCTCCATATTGCATTCCACTTCGGCACAGCAAATGATAAGAATTGTTTTTCCTTTCTCTGATGTTCAGAGAATGTGAAAC